CCGCTCATTCTCCCCACCCACCCTCTGAGCGAGCGGCCTAGCTGCTATTCCCGCACCGCCTTCCTCCAGGAGCGCGCGGGGGGGCTGGCTATAAATCGCGTTGTAATTTGAGTCGTATAGCGACCGCACACACCTCCTCTCCCCCCGTGTGGTATGCAACATCATCGCCGCGAATGTAATTTAGCGACGCTCCCCCCCAAAATAAGTAGCGCATCTCATAAATCAGGGCGCGCTTGTGTCCGGAGATTAAACAACGCCCGGCAGTGTGCGCAATTATCATGGCATTCCGAGTGCCGCCCGCCCCGCCACGCCACGCCGCGCTGAGGCCTCTCCCCCGAGCGCGCTGCGCCGCTCTGGCTCGTGAATGAGGCGTTCTTTTGCTCGAGGCTAGAGTCCCGCGGCGTTCTCTTGCTCGCTCGCGCTCTCTCGGGGGGTCCCTAACCTTGCTCTATCCTTTCCCTCGCACACGGCGCCCTCCTCCTCCTTTCGCAATTTCTTTCTCACAGACGCTGATTATGGCTTATTTCGGATGAAAACGCACACTCTGTGAAGCGTTGTTGGAACCCGACTCGACGCACACACTCGCTCACACACATCACATTACATGTGTGCCTTTGAAGACGACCTTGGCTGGCGCCCTCCTCGCTCCCCGCGCCTCCTGCACGTCCCTCATCGCCGTGCCCCTAGACCGGCCCGACTCGTCCGCCCGCGTTCACTTCACTTTGATACCGTAGGTCTCCATATACCTGTGGTTTTCACGTGGGTATACGAGCAACATCGCTACTTGCGTGCCTCCAGGTGTAAAGACAGAACGTTCCCAGTTGTTCCGCTCGCCACATTGGAGCCAGGCTCTATCTAAATCGCGGGAGAACTGCGACCAGCGTCCTCGAGGCGCCGCGACGTTCGGGTGGCGCGGGCCGTGGAGCTCAGCGCCCGCGCGGTGGGCCGGCCGCCTGCAGCCCGGCGCGGCGGGCGGCCTATGCGCGCCACTGCAGGCGGCGGCGCTGCGGCGCTGCGGCCGTGAGCCGCTTGACCGGCTTCGGACTTTCGCCACTTCGCCTGCCCCTTTGCTCCTTCTCTTTGTTTCCCGCTCTCCCTTTCTCACTCCCCGCTCGACCTCGCGTCCTTCGACCTCCGTTACTTCTCGTTCTGCGGCCTCCGACCCCCGCGCGCGTGTGTGCCGTGCCGCTGTGCTGCCCCTTTCCCCCACCTCCTCCGATTCTCCTCCCCGCCAAACCCCCTCTCCTCCCTCTCTCGTTCTCTCCCAGGCTCCCTCTCTCTCTCTCTCTTTCTCACGCTCCCACACACGGCAGTGAATGGCGTTGGTGGATTACTTTTTGAGGCAAATGACGTACTGGCCCAGGCACTGCAGCCACGTTATTCCCTGATAAAGCCATCTAAATGGAAATGTAAGGGTTGCGTGTGTATGTGTGTGTTGCTGCGCGGAAGGGCTCGTGTGTGTGTGTGTTTGCGTATTAGTGTGCGTGGCATGACCACTGTATCGTTGCTCCCCCCTCCCTCCCCCCATCACACACTCGCCCTGATACCACCGGTGTGCGCGCCAATATCACCCCCCTATCGTACCTGAGGGCGGTGAATGGGGATGGGTTCTCCTCTTCCCCTCATCTTCTCTCTCTCTCTCTCTCTCTCTCTCTCTCTCTCTCTCTCTCGCTCGCTCGCTCGCTCGCTGGCCGCGTGTGCAATTACTCGCTGTACCTGTCAGTACCCCTTGCGTAACCCAATTACACGCCGATATATGGATCGACCGGCTATTGAGTTTGATTTGTTGTTGTGATGTGAGTTTTGATTTTTTTTCTGTTTTGTTTCGCTCCCTTCCAGTCCCGGTGACGCACGTCGAGGCCCTGCTGGGCAAGAAGGCCTCCCTGCCGTGCGACGTCACGGCCCCCGATGACGCCGTCCACATGGTGCTGTGGTTCCGGGAGATCAACGGGAACCCGCAGGGCGAGCCACTTTACAGGTGAGATCTCCGCGGGTGCAGAGGATTACGTTTGGTTGTTGTAAATTAGTGTAGCATATTTATTTTCCATGTACCGGGTGATTCAGATAAGTCGTAGGAGCGCGCAGGATTGCCTACCCGATCTGTCCGTAAGGCGCCATAGCCCCATTAGTAGGCAAACCCGCTCGCACTTGCGTCTTCTCTTCTCTGCATCACCCGGTACGCACTCAAAACAATACGTCGAAATTGTTTTGTTTAAATTGATGGATCTCGACAAAGGCCTAATGACGCACACCGCACACCTATATAGTTTTTTTCTCACACTAATAATAATTGTTATATTCTCAAATCCTTGTTCTGCGACAAAAATTGTTTACTTTTTATTCAAGTAAAATTAAGCATGATATCTTCGGGGCCCACTTGCACGGATTTTCGCTACCACGGCGTGGGCGGAGAAGACATAGCGGCTGTGGCTCGTTGTTCGTTGTTATGAGTGTTGGATAAGCATTCTGTTGTTATCTCGTTTCGTCTTATTTTCTCCCCGTTCCGTCTGGGAAAAAGGGGGAGGCATGGCTTTCCGTCCGAGGCGGCGCATTGCTTCATAGGATGGACAGAGAGAGAGAGAGAAGGGGGTGCAGAGGGGGAGAGTAGGAAGAGGGGAGAGGATGGGGGCTCCTTCCACCGGCCTGCAAGTGAGTGCCAGCGGGGGTCCACGGGAGGAATGGCAAATCCCCGGCATGAATAAAGCATGTTGCCTACCTCCCAGGAGCTCGCCAGATGGGTCAAGGGGAGAGCAGCGGAAGGAGAGAAAGAAACAGGAAGCGCGTGGCTGGCAAGAATATAAGGAGGACTTTGGAGAGAATGCGAGACGGCGAGAGAGAAAGAGATGGAGGCCCAGAATGTGTGGGTGAGTGAAGGTGATGGGAGCGGACAGCTTGGCATCTGCTGTGCGAAGGGGGGCGACATTTTACTGCTCATTTTGAGGCATCACTCTAGGTCTCGGCATGCTGTGCCGTGTCGTCTTACACTTGTTCATTTCTGCATCTTGCGTCTTCATTTCCGGCATGGCAGGATCTGAAACAACGAGAATAAATTTGAAAAAGAAATCCATAACACTGCTTTTGTATCAATTCGGTCTCGACCTCATATCAGCCCAGTCCCCCCCCCCCCTTCTCCTTTTCTGCCCCCTGCAAAAGT